GAGGGCAGGGGCTGCCCCGGGGCGTGGGGCTGAGAGCCCGGCTGGGGCCGCGGGGGGGCCTTTGGGTGCTCGTGGTGACCGGGGGCTTTGCCACGAGCCCGGGACCCCCGCCGTGGGCCTGGGCTTTGCCGGCACCTTGAGGCACTTGCTGGGGCCAAGAGCTTGGTGATGGCCCTGAAGTGCTTGGCAGGAGCTTGAGGTGTTCACCGTGGCCAGGGGCTTTGCCAGGGGCTTTGCCGTGGCTCTTGTTGGCAGCTTGAGGTGTTCACCGTGGCCAGGGGCCTTGCCAGGGCCCCAAGGTCTTCACTGAGAGCTTGAGATGTTCACCGTGGCAAACACCTTTGCCAGAGTCATTGATGTGGCCCTCCCTCGGAGCTTGAGGTCTTCACCAGGGTCTTTGCTGTGGCCCTTGCTGACAGCTTGAGGTGTTCACCGTGGCCGAGGCCTTTGGCAAGGTCTTCACCGTGGCCTTGAAGCACTTGCCATGGTCTTGGCCTTTGCTATGATCCCAAGGCCCTTGTGAGAGCTGGATGTGTTCACCCTGGCCAAGGCTTTCGCCATGGCCTCGAGGCACTTGTCGTGGCTGTGGTCTCTGCTATTGCCATGGTCTTCACCGTGGCCCTGAGGCCCTTACTGTGATTGTGAGGTGTTCACCATTGCCAAGGTCTTCACCAAGGTCTTTGCCATGGCCCTCGCCGGCGGGCCACGGCCACAGTCTTCAGCATGGGCCCAAGGCCCTCACTCGGAGCATGAATTGCTCACCATGACCAAGGCTTTTGGCAATGTCTTTGCCATGGCCCCAAGGTCCTCACCAGGAACCTGTGGTGCTCAGTGGGCCCCTGAGGGTCTCACCATGGCCAAGGCCCTTGCCAGGACCTTCGTCATGGCCAGGATCTTCACCATGGCTTTGAGATACTCACCGTGGCCCCTAGACTTGTGCTGTGGCCAAGGTCTGTGCCTTGAGGCCCTTGCTGGGAACCTGAAGTCCTCACCATGCACAAGACCTTCACCATGGTGCTGAGGCCCCAGTGCTGCAGCTCTGGTGCTTTCACCATGGCTGTGGCTCTTGCCATGGTGCCGAGGTCCTCGATGTGGACCTGAGGTGCTGGCCATGGCCGAGGCCCTCGCCGTGGTGCTCCCAGAGGCCCTGGTCCTGCTGTTCCGTGGCCCTGGGATGTTTGCCAGGGCCGTGTCAAGGAGGCACTGTCCGTGCAACCAGAGCTGCTCCCCATTGTTGCCAGTGGCCACGAGGCCCTTGCTGTGGCCCCGAGGTGCTCCCCTGCACCCCCTGCTCAGCCCCGAGGTGCTCCCCTGCACCCCCTGCTCAGCCCCGAGGCACGCGCCGTGACCACCCTCCTCTCCGCGGCCCCCGTGGTAGCTGGCTGGGGGGGTCC